GTTTTCTTGTGGCTTCAATGCTTAAAGAAGTCATTTGACGTCACTTGGTCTTTGTTATGGAAATCTGTTTTCGAATTCAGTTGATTCAAAGTACGAACATGTTTTACGATATTCACCACTACCGATTCATCTCATTATGGGCATTATATTTAATAAACAAAGTTTCAGGTTTCGAAATTAGAAAATTTATCATTTGTTTTGACAAAATTAGCATCAGCTTTTAATTTTCTGACTCATTCGTAAGAATAATGTAAATAATTGACACGTAATAAAATAAATAAGTTAATAGAAAAGTTAAGAAAATTAATAAAAAAAAATATAAATGAAGAAAAATTATTGTTTTTTTTTCCTTTTTAGAAGCACCAGAAAAAATTGTTTTAAAAAAGTGTTCCCGAAAGAAGTCTGATTTTCATGTGTAAAATTAAGTAAGTTTCTATTTAAATCGGTTCTATAGCCTGTATTGTAACTTGTTTTTAAACTAAAAGCTATTTTAAATTATTATTTTTACTAAATGAGGTGTGCGGGGTGGAATTTCATAAGCTACTGTTAACAAAATTGAATAAAGTAACAACTGAATGATAGGGACTTTTACAATATTTTTATGTGATATTAAATATTAATAGAAAATATGATAAAATAATGCATACATTAAAAATACATTGCTAAACTAGGTTAGATCTTGTCATGAAACTTTAAAATTTAATAAGCTATAGCTAAAAGGAGAAACTATCTATTAATGGGTTAGAGCACTCTGGAAACATCCTCCTTGAAGAGAGAAGGCATCTGCACGTATCAATGTAGTAGTCCGATGTAACGAACATAAACAGCGCAGTGGGGTGAGAATACGAAATGTGCCACTAAATCCGGGTTACTAAACTGCAGTGAGGGTGTTTAATGAAAGATGTCACTACTTTCGGACTTCTGAGGAGTAGGATTTCTCGCTTATGGTAACCTGTTCGGAGTTCGTCTTTTCTAAGGGGTGTAAACTCTAGCGGCAATAAAAGAAAAGCTTATTTAAAAAAATTTTTAGCTCTACAAATAAATGAATCAAATTTCAGAAAAATCTCCTTTATACATTTTGTGATTTGTGGAGATTAATTTTTTTAAAAGCGATCCAAAACAAATTGATGGCTGTGTAACTTTTCTTCGAGGAATCTTTTATTTAAAGAGTATGAGGTAACTTGTAATAACTTGCTATTTTTAAGCAAGGGTGAGAAATTAAATACCTTTCAACTACACATGTGAATAACTTCAGAAGTAACTTCAGGGTTTTTTGATATATCTATTCTTATAAGAATGATGAAATTTTTTTTAAGTTCATTATTTCGCCAAAAACAGCCCGAAAATTCCTTCTAATAATAATAATAATAATAATAATAAACTTTTTCATAAAATGAATTAATGAAAGGTTAAAATAGTTTCACACAAACAAATATTCAGCTTTAAAGTGAAATAAACGAAGTTTTACTTTATATGAAAGGCAAAACTCTCATTCATTCACTCACTTATCACAAATTTTTTCTCTTCTTCTGAAGTTAGAAAGCTAAAATTATGCACATGTTTTTGTGATAAAAAGAAAAACTAAAAAGGTTAAATTTCGATATTTGTAATTATTGGTGAAATTAGGGGTAATTAGCCTAATAGACAGTAATGTTAGCTAACATGATTTTATATTAAGACATAAGTTTCACATTTGAACCATTTGCTTCTTATGAGTAAGCTGAATAATGTTGTAATACAGCTTCCAATGCTTGTTTTTTGCAGCAATCACAACAGCACAAAGTCGCAGTAATCAATATGAATAATGTTATCGATATATGCAGCTTGTATTTGATCTCATTCTGGTTGTAAACCTTGGAATAATAGGTTTTATTTAAATATTGATGTCTTCTTAAAAGTCGTTTAGATATTTCCACAAATGAAATATGGTATTCAGGTCTGGAGATTGACCTCTGTAAATCGTCAATATTGTTACCTACAAGCTTTGAAGTGTCTTGGATCGTTGAAACACTTGCTGAAATACCCAGTTTATGGCCTTAGGGTTGCATACGCTAGAAGATTAATACACAATCACAAAGCGATTCTCAATGTCATCAAAAATACTGATAGCTTGGGTCCTCTATTTGAAAGGCACCCCAAACCATAACATTGCCTCTATCATGTATGTCAGTAGGAATTTGATGCTTTTTTATTTACATATTTTTTAATGACGAAACACACTTTGTATATTAAAACATTATTTCTTCTCGTTGGTCTCGTTTTGTTGCAAACTGATTGTTTCTTATAGAATTATTAATTTTCAAGTTATATTTGCTAAAAATTATTTGAATTTTATTAAAATAATAATTTGGATGGATACTTTTGAACACGAAAAGATAGTAATTAATGTGCGACATTTTTCGTAATTAACCCTACTGCGCAGGTTATGTTCGTTGCATTGACCTACTAAATTGATCTGTGAAGAGGTTTTATCTCTTGTAGGAGGTGTTGATTTGAGTTGCAGTTTTCCTGATGTTCTACGTTAATTTGTAATTTATTATACAGTCTCCTATCTCCGTTGTTTTTCTAGGTAAACCACTTTTAGGCATATATTTTTAATCACATCCATTTCGATTATTAGTAACTAGGTCATTTATACTCGACTTTTGAAATGATAATAAAGGTGAAATTTTATTAGAGATTCTGCCTTCTTCTGATAATTTTATTACTCTTTAACGCAACTCCAAACATACATATATATAACCAAATTGAAAGTTCTGTTTATGCAAACTGATGCAAATAAGTTTTCAGAAGAAATTAAAATTGTTTTTGCCAACAAGCGAAGTTGAAGAAATTTATTGTATTATGTTATTTAAATATACTGTTATTTCAAGAATAATAGTTGGCTGAAAGTAAAAACTCATTTGAGTTTTTTCTTCTTAAATTATATTGAAAAAAAGATCGTTCTGTGTTCGTTGCGTCCCATACAGTTTAGAACCGAAGTGCTCGAGACAATATAATAATCAACCATATTTTTTTCGAATGAGAAATTTTTTTCGATCAAACTGTTCCTTGGTATTGTTTCCTCACTGTTGATATCGTTTCCACAGTTCCGTGATATTGTTTTTTATTGTTTTTTTAAACATCATATTTCTTCTTAGTACTGTTTAAGTTTTTATTTCTTCCACAAGATAGACAGCACAATACTGAGAAAAAACTTATTGCTGGATCAAAATTGTTATGAACAATTTGATAAAATTATTATAAACGATAGCTTAATTGTAATTTAAGAAGTCATGAAGAATAAAAGAAATTTAAAATTTAGAATGTAAACTAAAGCTTTTTTAATAGCGTTCAATGCTTAGTTGATTATAGGGGCAGCAAGTTATTGAAATCATGTAAGCAGATGTGTCGTGGCTTACACTACGAATAAGTATTGGGAAGAGTGAGATGATATTGAGAAAGAATTAGCGTCTGGATGCAAATTTTATTGAATATTATTTTAATCGAGATAGTAAAAAATATGCCTGAAAATTCGATATTTGCCCTCCACAACAATAATTTTTTATTATTGTAGTGATATTTTTTTAAAAATCACTCTGCATTATTTATTGTATTTGCAGTGATGGAAAGAAGTGGCATTTTAATTATTATGGCTGTTATGACCCATATTAGCTTAAATTACAAGAAGAGATTAAGACTAAAGAGGATGTACAATGCGGGAGAAAATGGTCCATTCTGAATAATTTTTATCTAGTTGGATCATCACGTTCTAGGATTAAATTTTAATGGTTCAAGGGGTTGACCTTAAATATGCTAAATAATTAGTGCAGACGATATTACTGAATGAACATACTTTTTCTTTCTACGGATTCGGATTTCTGCCCCCTAAATTGTAGAGGGTTGCCACAATTTGGGAAAATGGAAAGATGGTCCCAATAAAAATTGTTTTGGATGTTTTGGTTTCTCGAGTAAGAACCAGAGTGATACGATTTTCCTTATAAAGTTTTTTTTTAAAATTAAAATAAATTTATCGACTGTTAGGTTATAATTTCAAGATTGCAATTTTTTGACGTTTTTTATATTTTCATTAGTTTTGTCATAAATTATTCTGCCTTGAAAAAGAAATATTCTTCAGAACTGTATAATATCAGATTCTTAAGAAGAAAACATCAATATAAGTACTGTACTAATTAAAGAAACTTCGGATGAGGTTATAGTTTTGTTGAGAACTGTATGTTTCGTGCTATCGATCTAATGAATCTTATCTTACCTATCGAATGTTTCTTAGCTTATAACAATAAATTCGTAGATTTTTTTTGCATTGTATTGCACGATTAATTTTAATGTAAATAGAGAGAGAAACACGAAAATGTAAGGGAAAATATTTAAGAAAAAAATACTAGTTTTATTTAACTTTTATAGTTTTATTTATTAATTTTTGATAGTTTAATTTAATAATTTTTTTTTAATTTTAAAGGTTTTTATTTTTAATTTTAAAGATTTTTACTTTTAATTTGATCACAATCTAGATTTGGTATAAAATATCAATGTGAACAATTTTATTGATAAGTTAACTTAATTTTGTGTATTTTTAAGAAACTTCATTACGCAAAATATTTATAAAATATTTACAAAATTCGGGACATTTTATTAATAAGCTGGTTTTGTAAGAAGAAATTTTAAATAATAATAGTAATTCACTAACAAGTGAAAAGGTAACCTGAAAATATAGCATTAAATAGACTTTACATAAAATAATTCGTGTTTTTCTTCATTATTGCTTTATACCAATATAATATTGAGAGTTCAAAGAACTTAATGGTTAAGTTGTTTACATGCAGGCTTTTATAGCAAGCATTTAACTTAAATTGTAAGTGAAATGTTAAACTATAGGCAGGAGACATTTAATAGTTACACAACTAAAACGAATAGCTTTATTATTTCAAGTTAGCAATCTTATTTAATTTTGTAAAAAATATTTTATGAAAACATGCTATAAATTATTAATTATGACTTACCTTTATGGTAGACGTCTTAGACGATGTTTAAAGTTGTTCTGTATCGAAATTGTTGCTTGGAACTTCGACTAACAAGTATGAAGGAACCGGTTCGGTATTATTTTGTTCAACTCATTTTGATTTTTTGTTTCAGTTATTTTAAGATGAGATAGATTATATTTCAAGGTTACAAACACTATATGGTTTATACTTTTTTTTCACTTCCTATTTCCACAAAGGTTATAATTTTGTGCAATAAGGTTAATAAATTTTAGGTCGTTGCGAAATGATTAACGATCGTTTCGTTTTTAGTCTGCATTTTCTACATTGTATACAATTGGGAAGAAGAGATTTGTGTATCGGAAATAAAAGGCACTCTGGCTATTTCTTATGATATTAAGATTTTTTGCAGTTTCTTAAGGGTTTTATGTTTTTTTTCCAGAAGTATAAACATAGAAAATACATCAGGTTTTGTAGGAAAAGTGCATAGAGAGTTGGACCTAAATAGAAAAAAATAACCTAAATCATGCTACAATATTGAGATTTAAAGAACACATTTCATATTCATCTTATAAATATACTTTTCGTTCAAACAAATAAATATAAAAAAGAAATTCCTGCTTCTCGCAAAATTACCATTGTAAATACTATCTTACAACAATGGAAAAGACAATTTCAGTTTTTTGGCATTTATTCAAATTTCTTAAATATTAAAAAAAATTATTTTAAAACTTTGGAGACGTTTTTAACTAAACCAAAATGCAAGGCATTTAAACTATTCATTCAGTAATTTTACCGTTTGCTGTAACAATTTACCGGAAATTTTGGTTTTCAAAATTATAGTTCTCATTACTACACATTTAGTAAAAAAGCAAATCTGAAAATTAAATTTAACCAAAAAAATGCTTTTTTTTTGCCATGCTTTAAAGCATTACGATAAATTTCCAAAATGTTCATCAGAACTGACTGATTTTACCGTTTATTTGGTAGTTATAACCTTTTTGTATTTATGCCTCTTACCAAATAGATTGGTAATAATTCCTTTCTAATGGTTTATTTAAAAAGGCGGCTTATTTAAGTGGTTGATAGGAGTTAGATGACTCGATCTTTTATGAGGGCAATGGGCTTTATTTATTTACTTACATATGTGTTTTTTTTGTAAGTACAAATGACGGCTTAAAACTTTTTAGCTTGTAAAACGGATGGCACAATTTTGCGAAAGATAGCAAGAATATACACTTAGTGCCAATCGGCCAATTGCTCAGAAGCGTGGAGGTTGCGGATTCAATATCTTTGTGTTGTTTTTATTATTTTTGCGCTACTTGTTCCGTAATTTGACATGAGACGAGCCATTCTGAGACGAGCCATTAGACGAGCCATTGAGCACATGATTTTGTATACATATCAAAACCAAATTTATTTATTTACTGTTACACATCTATGGTTACGCTTTAAATAAAATCTGCTACTTCTATTTTATATACCGTTTGGCGAAAAGAAGAGACTGATGTAAAAAACAATAAAAAATATTATTATTAAAAGTATTTATTTATTGTTACTCATGCATTTACAGGCTTGTGTGCTCATTACAAAGTACAATTTATTATAAACCCTTGTCAAAATGAAGAACACATAGAAATGAAGCCATTACAAGATGCATCTATTGTAACGAGGAGGTAGCAGTTTCAAATCCCGCCATGTCCCAGGATAAATGTTTGTGATGTCTTTTGCTATTTCGTGCTATCTCTTTAAAAGGGCATATAAGCCAAGCTTTGTAATGAGCACACAAGCCTGGGTATTAAGAATTTTACTAATGTTAAGACCTGAACTAATATGACGTCAATAACTTTCATCAAAAGGAAAATAATTTAAGTTTCACTAATTTAATTCGATTAATTACTAACCATCCATTAAATTGTCTAACAACAAACAAATAATTTAAGATCTTTACTAATATTAAAATTTTCACAAATATGACGTAGATAACTTTTATCAAAATTAAAGCAGTAAAAATTTTACTAAATAGTAATTGCTATTAATTCTTAACAATCCACTAAATTTTCTAACAAAAAAATTTCGTATATTTTTTTATCTAAACAAATAATTTAAGATCTTTACTAATATTAAAATTTTCGCAAACATGACGTAGATAACTTTTATCAAAATTAAAACAACACGCATTTTACTAAATAATTGCTATTAATTCTTAATAATTCATTAAATAGTCCAACAACAGACAATTTCTCATCTTTAATATATTATTTATATATTTCTTTGGTTTATATTTTTCTTAGAAACGGATTTTCAATTCAAAGAAAAGTGGTGAGGGCAAATTTTGTATTCCGCCTAGGGCCTAGACTTTTTTTTTTTATTGGGCCTCGATTTTATATCACACAATGTCGGATAGGTTTGTTATGAAATGAACTTTAACGAAAATTGTTTTTCGTTCAGATCGTGCAGAGTAAAAATCAAGTAAATTGACCTCAATCTAATGATCTAGAATTAAAATTTGATGAAATACAGGATGTAACTTTTTGCTTACTTTAATCATAGTTAATTAATAGAGTTTTGACATCCAATTACTGGGCTATTTAAAGAGTAATGCAGAGGTGTAAAAATTATTCTTCTCTTTTCTCAAAATAACTTTTCAGTGCAAACTTTAGAATGCATGACAAAGAGCCGTTCTAACCTTGCGTTTTTTTCATTAAAAGCAATTTTTATAAAATTAAATATTTAATTTTTAGTATTGTGGAAAAAATTATTTTAGAACACCACATGATATATTTTTCCTCCACATGTTTTCTTCTAGACGTTTATTTTCTTACTTTCTTCACTATAAATGTTACTGTNAAAAAAAAAAAAAAAAAAAAAAAAAAAAAAAAAAAAAAAAAAAAAAAAAAAAAAAGAGAATGTGTTCCATTGAGTAGTAGAAGATTACATATTACTTTTAAATGAAAATCATTTTTCTAAAAATATTTCCTAAAAATAAGCTTTTTATTTAATAATTTTAGTTAATTTTTTTACGGAAGTCTATATTTTCTCTTTTGGACTGTGTTGGCCTCTAACAAAGTAGGGATGCAAGGGTCACATGACCCCATAAGGACATTTTCTTTCGTTTTCCTCTTTTTTTATTTTTAATTATTTATTTTAATTATTTATCTTTAATTATTTTGCATCTGACTTCGTCCAAGTACTGACTAAACTTAACTCTTCAGCAGCTGAAAAAAGCTTGCCTTTAAAGAAAAAGTTATTTTGTAGTTTATTTTTAAATCTTTATCTTCAGATTTTTGTCGATTTGGTATAAAAATAAAATTTTCGTTTTTTTCTCGCTCCTCAAACTTAGTTTATAACGGAGCTTGCTCTATGTTGATCTTACATTTAAAATAAAAGGCTAATTTTAATTATTAAAAAAATCAAACGTTACCCCCTGCTGGAAAATGCTATTTTTTGCTGGAACCAGGTATTATATTATTTTGACCTGCTCGAAATTTTGCTAGGTACTTATATTTCGACTTTTCATGTCAAGCATTTTATTTCATTCTTCCCTATTTTGGGTATACGACTACCAATGTTCAAGCATAATGTTAATGTACAATGTAACAAGCCGGATGTGGAATTCGTATCGACTAGCCATCGCTGGGATTCGAACTCGGTTCACCTCATTGGGAGGCGAATGCTCTATCACCTGAGTCATTGCGGCTCTGTGTCAAGTATTGTACAAATAAAGAATACCACATGAATAAAAACATAAACATAAAATGAATCAATTTTGCATGTGATAACGTAATTGTTTGCCAAGTGCCAAATTAAAAATTAGAAAAAACGTATTGGTTACTCGAAACTTTCCAGTCGCAAAATTCTCACCAACTCTGCATCTTGTCTCCTTTTTTTTTGGATGAAGCAAGAATAACAACTTTTATCAGAATCTACTTTTAAAATTTGCGATTTTAGAGCAAACTATGGTTTTAAATTTGCGTGCTTTGGAAAAATAAAAAAAAAAAAAAAAAAAAAAAANAAAAAAAAAAAAAAAAAAAAAAAAAAAAAAAAAAAAAAAAAAAAAATAATGAAAATAGGATTTCTGTTCTTTAATATTAAACCAGATTTAAATAAATGCCCATTGCAGAAAATTAAAAAGAAAATTATGCAGTGTCATCCATACAACATTTTCCACCTGATGCTTTCTTTGCATGTTTTGGATAAAAATATTATTTTTATTAAAAAAAAATGATTATATAAATTATTTAATATTAAATAATCATAAAAAAATTATAATTTATTATGATAATTATAGATAATTTGTCCCTTATAAGTAATTTTTAGAAAATATGACAGCCATTGTCTCATATGAGACCAGTTTTGTATGAATCTTGTAGTTCAAAAAATAGTAAACAAATTCCATAAAATGCCCGTCATATGTCATTTTCCCCTAGGGCTTTATACAGTTTGTTTTGAACAAAGATGAAACTATTTAAAAATATTTTTCAAATAGTTTTTGGTTATAACTCTTTTTACAAAATATGTCACTTATTGTATTACATTAAACCAGTTGAAATGAATTTCGAGGTGTAAAAAATAAATTACTAATAAAATTAATTACTAATAATATAATTAACTAATTAATTTTATTATGTATAATGACATTTTTTCATTATACTCGATTTTTTATGTTTTTAGACTAATACGCTTATTTCACTTATCTGAGGAAGAAATAAGGGTGCTATGAAATCTGAATGAATACAGAACGCTCACAGGTTCGAATAAACAGTCGTTATTTTTAAGTTTTTTTTATTTTTTATTTTGAAACATTATATTGGATCACTTCAGGAGAAATTTTTACTATTTAGATAGAAACTATATGATTTTTTAATAAAAACTCCATTTCAAATTCTAAATATGTTTGTCCAATGTAATTTTCCACCATCTGTCTATTATGGATAGCATATTATACTCAATAATGAATTAGTAAAAAATATATTATCAAAACAGTATTAAACTTATAAAGGTATTTTAACAGAAAAAGAGAAAGCCATTATTCGATATGCTCTCAATTTCAAAGCCAGTTTTATACGACACTTTAAATTAGTGTCTTAAATATCATGTATCGGACAAAGTAGATTTTTTT